GCCGAGAGGGAGAGGATGACGACGGTGCCGCTGAGGCTCACCACGTAGAAGAGCATGTGGCAGACGACGTCGCCCAACACCCAGGACTCGGTCCAACGCACGGCGGCGATGAAGGGGATGGCGGTGATGAAGAGCAGGTCGGCGCAGAAGAGGTTGAGGACGAGGCAGTTGGAGGCGCACAGCCGGTGCCGCCGCCGCACCAGCAGGCAGATGCCCCAGACGTTTCCCGCCAAGGCCAGCAGGAAGATGGAGGCCAGGGCGGACGACTCGCCAATGCGCAGGGCCGTCACGTTGCGGCCCCTGAAGTCTGAGAAGAAGGGGAAGTAGGTCCTGTTCCCCCCCGGTGCGCCCCCGGACCCCGGCATGGGGGTGGCCGGTGGGCATGAGAGACCCACCGCGGGCAGCGGCGCCAGCCCTAGGGGAAGGGCTGCGCTCCCAACCACCACGGCGGCACCCGGGGTGCCCTCCCGGCACGGAGCAGGGGGCTGGCCGCCATCCCCCTCCCTCCTCTTCCTCCTGCCCCTGCCGCCAAGGGCTCGGCCGTGCCAGCCGGGCGGTTTATGGCCCTCGCGCTGGAGTGGAACAAGGAAGTGGGAGGGTAAACACGGTGCGGCTCGCACAAAGGCGAGGCCGCTGCGTGTGGGGAGGCAACGAGGGGCCGGGGGCGAGCGGGGCTGCCTGACGCCTGCCCAGGGAGGGTGTGGGTCAGCGCACTGGCACCTCCGTGCTGGGGGACCCAGGCCTGGCCACCTCCTCCAGCGCCGGGCCTGGTCTGCTCTGCTCTGCTCTACAGGCAGGCCCTCGGGGCGCCGGTGACCCGGGGAGGCCGCACAGGCTGCTGCCCTCCGCCAGGGGTGTGGGCCTGGCTTAAAACAGAGGGATGGCTGTCAGACCGCTCCGAGAGCTCTTCTCTGGAGCCCGGGATAACCAGCGCTGCTCTAAGGTAAAAAAGAGGAATTTACCTATCGCCTCGTGTCTTGGTAGTGGCGTTTGGAAACAGCGGTCCTGTGTGTTGCTTGTGCTAACTGTGGTCCGGTGTGGAGGGGAAGTGTCACTGTCTTGATTTCTGGGATCTGTTTAAGTTGATCCAGAGTCTTACCTGCCTGTATTATGAGTTCTTGCTGAAGAAGCCTGGTGAATTAAGGCATACCTAGAAAATACCCTCTGTTCCCTGGACTTCAATTCCTGAAAGCAGTTGCTCAAATTGTAAATGAAAGTAGGGCTTTCCGCTTACACACTTCATTGCAGATTATTTAGAAATGGACTGGGAGTGAAGTGCATAAATCATTACAGATGAGCAGATAATGCCTCATAAAAGAAGATAAAATGTTTTCATAAAGTATGTAAACAGCTGTATGACTTTGGATGGCTCTGGATGAATTTGTTTGACTGAGTGACAGTGTAGGTACTTCAGGGCGCAGTTACAGGCTTGGCTGTATGGAGCTACACCTTTTGATTAGGTGAGAGTTACTCCAAACCGATGTGCCAATGGGACCAGGTGACCGGGCGGTGCTTCTGTGGTACCCTGGATGTGACCCTGCTATCAACTGCTTACACAATGGCATTAGTGGGGATTCCAGATTAGTGGGGATTCCAGAAACTCGGTCCTTCTAAGGGACGATCTCCTAATGAGGAATGACAACAGTGAGATCTTTCCTGGACTGCTTCCCACATCTTTGCCAGTGCAGAATTTACCTTGATTTTAATTAGCACGTTTACTCTTGAGCTGTAAGTGGTTCTAACTATCTATGCTGTCTCATCAAATAGGGAGTTTGCAGGGCAGCTTAAACAGGTAGATGAGATGCTCCTACTAATTCCTGCTGATTTCTTTGACCATGTGAAATGTGGGCAGACTCGCTGTTAAGTGGGTAGCTGCTATGAACTCCAGTGAAGGCAGTAAGAAAACTTGCAAAGATTATTTTTTTGGCAGCCAGCAACACAATTGACTAGCAAGTGTCTTGAAACATATTTTATTCTACATCATTTGCTGGGAGAAAAACCTGCGCCCATATTGCAAAAGTTTCAGCAAATTTAATACCAAGGTAAAAAAATCCTACTACTGAGGATGATTATTCATATTTATGATCAAAGCTTGACATATCTAGCCACGATTTATGTTGGCTCTGCTATGGACTGATTCTATAAAATGATTAGCAAATCTTGAAATACAGCAAATACCTTCCAGTTGCCACAACCTCACAGGTTCTGGGACTTTATACAAGCTGACAAACTAGCCCCGAAGTTCTGGGCAGCTGGCAGTAGCGGTGACATGGTCAGCTCTGAATAGAGGCTTGGATTGGGAAAGAGCCATTGTTAGAAGTCTGGTTGTACCTGTGTGAAAGCGTGGAAGGCATTAACAGGACGGGTGGGGGGCAACTGGAAGTGGTAGCACAGATAAATGCAAATTGTGTTATGTGTGAAATCTTTAGCCCCTTTGGCATTAGTGGAAAATGAAATTAGAAACTGATCCTATCAATTCAGGGTAAAGGAAACATGTTTGAAATAGAATGGGGGAAGGAAAGTAGGGAGAGAACACCCAAAGCAGCATTACTGAAGAAATGAAGATATTTTCAGTCAGGGAGGAAAGGAGTGCCACAGAGGAGCAGAAGGTTTGAAAATGAGATGATGTGTGGAAGTATCTGGATAGACCCTTGATCTTCTTTAGAAAGGATCACCTTTAGCTTTGGTCCTTAGGTGTGAATGAGAACCTTACTTACTTGGCATAAGCCTGTTGTTTGCTCAGAAGAACCAAAGCAAAATGCTGCTTTTAGTATGCTATTAGTGAGTGAGCTTCACACTGACCTGTGTACAAAATCCTGTGCCTGGGGACAGCAGAGATGTGAAGAAACATGCACATTTCCATGGGGTTTTACCAAATGAATGGGAGCTCCTTGCAGGAACAAAACCAGTCTGATTAATCATGGGTCTAATGGATCCATTATCTAAAAAAATAGTTTTATTTTCCCTCCCATGAAGTACAAAAGCTGTGTTTGCTGTTGGGTAGCTACAATCATAGCAACCATCACAACGTGAAATCTGAGAAAGGGAGGAATCATAACCTCAACAGAGCTACTCTGGCATTGCTGTAATAGGTGGATGCTGTGTGCAGTATATGCTCCACATATGCTTATGACAAGGAAGTGATTAACAGAATGCTTGGTAACCTGTTACGATTGCTTAACCTATCATTTTTTCAACCTATGTGCTTTTTTATGCTCAGAAGTGGTGAAACATGAAATCAACTCAGATTTCATTGTTCTAGGTTAAATGAAAGTTGCGGGGACCTCTGTGGAGCTGGTTAGCTAGCCTAGTGGGGAAAAATCTTTCCTTTTTTGTGGTTTTTCTTTTTTTCATTCTGAATGAAAGCCTGAGTCTTTGCCTTCTCTATGGCAGATAAGGTCTGTGTTAACTGATGCCATAAGTCAAGCTCTGCTTTTCAGATTGTTCCCCTGACAACCATGAACTGTCACAACAGAAGGGGATAGTTCAGCTTATTTATTTCTTGAGCATAAGAAATATTCCTAGAGAGAGGGACCTCTTGGGCTAGGTGATTCTGGGCAATGGCGATTCTTGTTCCTTTTGGACATGACCTAGTAAAGGTTTTTTGCCTCATTTATGCATCCTCTTGCATGTAGATTGGTGTTTAAGTCTTTGGGTCTATTTTCATGCACCTGTATCACAATGTGTAAATAGTACTGACTTCTATAACAGATGTATTGCATATTTAATGTTTGCTAAGTGATTTAAATTGATTGCATTAGAAACATTGACTCTTTGTCTTCACAAAAGAGGTTCCAAGCTTGTAGGTGATGCAAGCTGTGTCTATATAATAAGGGTTTTAGCATAAGTTGCAACAAAGGTTAGCTTTCTATTTTCATGTTTGCTTTTACATACCATACTGCAGCTGTTCTGCTTCTAGACACTATTAATTCTGTGCTGTTGTGGTTTAACCTCAGCCAGCAACTAAGCACCACACAGCCACTCACTCACTCCCCCCCACCCAGTGGGATGGGGGAGAGAATTGGAACGAAAAAGGTGAAACTCATGGGTTGTGTTAAGAACAGTTTAATAGAACAGAAAGGAAGAAAATAATAATTATAACAATAAAAATATTACAATAATAATAAAAGGATTGGAATATACAAAACAAGTGATACACAATGCAATTTCTCACCACTTGCTGACGGATGCCCAGTTAGTTCCCGAGCAGAGAGCCCCCCCCCCAGGCCAACTCCCCCCAGTTTATATACTGGGCATGACATCACATGGTGTGGAATATCCCTTTGGCCAGTTTGGGTCAGCTGTCCTGGCTGTGTCCCCTCCCAACTTCTTGTGCCCCTCCAGCCTTCTTGCTGGCTGGGCACGAGAAGCTGAACAATCCTTGACTTAGTCTAAACACAACTTAGCAACAACTGAAAACATCAGTGTGTTATCAACATTCTTCTCATATTGAATCCAAGACATAACATTATACCAGCTACTAGGAAGAAAATTAACTCTATCCCAGCCGAAACCAGGACATGTGCTTAGAAGTTATGCCATTGTAAGGTTTGTTTCAAATACAAATGTTTTGATTTATTTTGCTTTTTAGGAAGTTTTCTGACTGCTCACCCACTGTATACTTTTGTATCAGTGAGCTGAAGCATTTACACCAGTGTCCAAGGGACAATTTTAAACTTGTAGTGCAAATATAAATGCATCTGTTTGTCTTCATATAGTAGCAAGCTGACCCACTCAAGTGTCCACTGAAAGTACCAGATGCTTCTGTGGATCTGTGTGATCATGTCAATAACTAGTCCCTGTTTCTTCTGGGGAGTGAGCAAGTCACTGTTTCTTCTGGGGAGTCTCATTTTCCTGTGGTCAGTATCCGTCAGAAGCTGGCATGCTTCCTGGGATATGTGCCAGTGTCTCTATAGTTTCACACTGTAGCAGCAGCATTACTGACCAATCAGTCAAAAGCAGAGCTACTGGTAATACTCTCAGTAGATGTATTTTCTAATAAGAGCTGGAACAGTTTTTTGTCATCAAGACCACCAGAAGTTTTGCCAACAGCAATATTGAGCAATTTCCTTATGACTTGCAGTAAGGGAGGGATTTCTCTCTGAACCAAGTGCAAATTTAAGTACATAATCCATGTTAACAGAGAATTCCCCTGGAAGGTCGCGATCTCTGTTAGGCTGCATGCTAACCAAGCTTCACCAGGGTGACTAAGATCCAGCTAGACTGTTCTAACTAAATGAGGTTGTTTGTTAGTTTTAGATACTGTATTACACTTAGACACATCTACCCCATGGATTTAGGGAGTTTATCAGTGAATATAGGGTATCAGAATGGTTCATTTGGACGTTGCAGGATCTGGTAGAAC